AGTCTGAGCCTCAGGGACTCACTAGCCAAGCCCAGCTCCATTCCCCGCGGTCAGGCGTTGGCCCCGCTGTCCCGGCCAGACCCCTGCAGTTACCACTGGTGACGGAACCCTCTTCACTTCCTGTCCTAAACTGGTCTGCAGTGCGGCTATGAAATGGCTACTGTGCTCCACCCCAGATATAGCTGTATTTGTACACCAGGCAAGGGATCCCTGGATAAACAGCCCCCTGCCCCACCCCAGAGGTGGCTGCATCTCAGTACCAGATGAGGGATCTTTGTATAAGCAGCCCCCCCCGGCCCAACCTGAGATGGCTGCATATGAGCACTTGGTGGGGGATCCCTGTATAAACAGCAAACACACCCTACCCCAGAGGTGGCTGCATCTCCGCGAGCGGGGAGGGGTGTCCAGCCTCACCTTGTCTCTCCAGAGACTCGTTCCCATGCTGGACAAAGCTCTTGAGCTGATTGACACACGTTGTTCTCAGGAGAAACTGAAGCATGCTGGCTGTGCCCTTATCCTGGTTGAGAAGGTCCCGGGCGTAGAGCGCCAGCTTGTCCCCCTGCCGAGCCACCCATTTCCCTGTGTCCGCGTCGAAGCTGATGAAGTCCTCGCCATTCACCGCAGTGTCATAGAATCCCCTCGAGGTGCCGTTGGGGTGCAGCTCGCAGACGAGGGAGCCCTGGGTAACAAAGGGGTCTGGAACAGGAAGGGCAGGGGGATGAGGACGGGCGTCCGGAGGTCCCAGGAGGGGGCAGAAACACAGAGCCGGGGGGAGTAAAGACATAACATCAGGTGCCATGAGGATGTTGGGCCACACGATGGCGGCAGGATTGTGGGGCGGCCCTGGTTGAGGTTAAGGGTAAGTTGCAGTTTCTGTTTAAAGCCGATTTTTTCACGGGCATAGTCAGATTGGTTTTAAAATCGCTGCGTTACATCGGGGCCTGAGGCAGAGTTTGTGGTACTAATTTGGGGTCCCTTGGTCACGGGGTTCCTGAGATACGGACCCCCCCAAATGACCTGCTTTTCAAAGGCTCAGGGTACGTGTCAGGAAAGACCAGGAGCGTCGGCTCAGGGAGTGGGACACGGGGCCTTTCCCCTCTAGGAAGTGCAGGCTACAATCTGACCACAGAGCTGGTGTTTCCCCTCTGGGGGACGCCGGCTCCAATCAGCCAAAGGGCCAGGGACTGGCTGTCTTACCCACAGTGACACACTCAGTGGCTGTGGTGAGTGTGTCAGTTCTCAGCACCCCGGGTGGGTGGGGGGAGGGATCCCCTCAGACCGCTCCATACTCACAGCCCATTCCCTGCTGCTGAGCTATTGTGTTCACAGTCCGGTTGAAGTTGGACAGGGAGCGATGGATCAGCAGCTCCAGGTCCTGCCACTGCTTCGGGGTCAGGCCCTGCTCGACCCAGGGCTGCAGGAAGCGGATCTCGCAGGTGCTGCAGTCCATGGAGTTGGTCTCTAGGTCGCCCAGCAGGGCTCTCATATCCGTGTCCGTGGAGCTGGCGTTGTGGAAGACGTTGATGTGGAGCACCCGGAGGGTGACAGACACTGGTGGGAGAGGAGGGGAGGCTGGGGCAGGGGGCAGGGAACAAGTGGAGGACAAAGCGGGTGGGGAGAGAGATTAATGAGTCTCTGTCCCATAAACAATCCTGCACTACGGGGTCTCCCTGCTGATCCCTAACTTACTGTGAGGAAGTGGGGGATTTTCTTGTTTTCTGTGGGTTTCCAATTGTTTGCGTGCAGAGGGGGTGGGACTGGGCGTTACTGGTTTAACGATGTGAGGGGAGAGGGAGTTTGTTGTTACAGAGGACCGGAGAGGGAACTTGGGACCCCAGCCGATGGCCTGGAGAATGGAGACCCCAGCGATCAGTGACCTGAGACCCCGGAGACCCAGCTCAGGAGTCAGAGCCGGTTCTGGCCAGTGGGAGGACAATGGGCTGCAGAGTGAGGACCCAGTGACCTGACCAGTCAGTTCCAGCCAGAGGGGGACAGAGGTCCGAAGGGAGGAGAGGAGGCCCAGTGACTCTGTTTACGACCCTGTTTCCCTGGAGAGAAGACAATGGACAGAGGCGGGGCCTGGGGCCGGGGATCTCAGATGCCCAGCTGGGAGCAGGGGGCTCTGGGCTGGAGAGGGGGAGCAGGCAGAGCCCACCTGGATGCAGAGAGACTGGGGTGTGCTGGGCTGAGAGGGGCCAGGCCTGCGGCCCTGCGAGTTTCCTGTGCTGTGTTCAACTCTCAATAAACCCTCCTGTGTGACGCTGGCTGAGAGTCGCTCCGGGCTAGAGAACAGGGCGGGGTGGGGGGAGGCATCAACTCCTGCGGGGGTGGAGGCCCCGGGGGTCCAGAGTGAGGGGACTCCCAGACGGGGCCCATGGCAGAGACAGACGTGCTAAGGCTCAGAGAGGTGCGGCTCCAGGAGGTGGAGGGGCCTGACCCCGGGAGAGAGGGGACCCCCGAGAAGGGCTGTCGCACTGAAAGGGGCACCCCCCACGGACCACACGGGGCCAAGAGTGGGCCCGACCTGTGAGTCCGTGACACCCGGGAAGAGAAACAAAGAGGAGGAGGAGGGTCAAAGAGGGGTGTCTGAGGTCCAGGCACTGAAGTCTGGCAGTCTGCGTGGGGGGACTGGAAGAGGGGGAGTCCAGGGCGTCTGGCCCAGGACTCCCCAAGACGGACTTGGCTGAAAGTCACTGATTTCTGTTCTAACAGGCTCTGCCCTAGGCCTTGTTCCTGTCGCCTAATAAACCTGCTGTTTTCCCGGCTGGCCGAGAGTCACGTCTGACTGCGAAGTGGGGGTGCAGGACCCTCTGGCTGCCCCAGGACCCCGCCTGGGCGGACTCGCTGTGGGAAGCGCACGGAGGGGCAGATGCTGAATGCTCCCAGGAGAGACCCAGGAGG